CACGCCCAGCATGAGTTTAAGCCACCGGTTAGAACGCGAACCGCGGTTGACTACGTGGGAGTCCAGCGACATAGCCATTATGCTAACTGCTGGTTCCCTCATCCCAACAATTCTTAAAAAAACAACTTTGTTTATTTTTAAAATTTCCAGATGCTGCGGGCACTTGCCAGACAGAGAGAATGCGAGGCCACCCTGTACTGAGCAGTGGCCACACCACAATCCCTCTCCCCCCAGTTCCCCACCCCGTTGGAATTTGGGGTGCTCGCACACACTTCCAGCATGTTCCTCAAACTGCCAGGACCAGGATTTGAACTGCTGTTAGCTATGTGGGATCTGGCTCTCTTTACCCACTAGGCTCCGGTGCCAGCTAACATGATTTTATATATATAGGGTCGTCAGAGAGGTCATGACATATTTTTGTAGAGAAAAACATACAAATATACATTATGACTTTTCTGACAACCCAATATATACATACTTTTTTTTTTAGGTTGTCGCCATAGAATACATATACCTGGGGGCGATTTTGCTATAGGGTGCGTATGTATGGTTGCCAGAGAGACAAGAGACAGAGACAAAAAGCAAGAAATCACCCCCGCCCCCAGGGGAGATGACCATACCACAATCCTTTCTCCGTTGTCCTCCCAGGATCTTGGGCACACATGCACAGGTGCCTGGCATGAGTTTTAAGTTACTGGGTTCAGGACTTGAACCGTGGTCGACTACGTGGGAGTCCAGCAACATAACTATTACACCATTTGCGGGTGCCACCCTGTGATTTTCAAGCTGCCAGGTCTAGGACTTGAACTGCCGTTGGCCATGTGGGCGTTCAGCATCTTAACTATCACACCACCTTCTGGCCCCCATGGTCTTATTTCTAACTGCCCCCCCCCCCCCCCCCCCCCTAAGAGCTCTCCCTAACCCCTCCCAGCCCACTGCTGCCATCCTGGCCTGTCACCCCCTTCTCAGAATCCTGTAGCCTCCTAACCATCTCCTCTTCTCCTTCGGTCCCTCCCTATGATTTGTCTCACCATAGTTGAAATCATCTTTCTAAAACATGAAATAGGGGGACCAGCAGACGGCACAATGGTTTCATCGCTGGACTCCCACACAGTCAACTACAGTTCAAGTGCTGGACCAGCAGCTTAAACTCATGCTGGGCGCGTGTGTGTGCGTGCCCAAGATCCTGACAGGACAATGGAAGAGAAGGGATTGTGATGTGGCCATCCCCCCCAGGGGGTAATTTCTTGTTTCTTGTCTCTTTGGCAAGCGCATGTGCCCTACAGCAAAAATCTCTCTCTAAAAAAAGTGAAATATGTCAAATATGTCATGTTCTTCCCCAATCAAAACCTTTTCATTACTTCCTAAATCACTGCAAATAAAATCTAGTTGGTGTAGCCAGGATCAGCAGGGGCTGCTGCAATCATCAGGTGAGAGATGGTTGGAGAACAATATTTACGTGAGGTCAAAATCTCAGGGCTTGAGGGACCAGCAGTTAGTGTAATAGCTATGTCGCTGGACTCCCATGTAGTCGAATGCGGTTCAAGTTCCGGACCCGGTGGCTTAAACTCATGCCAGGCGCATGTGCGTGCGTGCCCAAGATCCCGAGAGGAGAACGGAGGTGAAGGGATTGATTGCAGCGTGGCCATCCCCTCTGGGGAGTGATTTCTCGCTTTCTGTCTCTCTGTCTTTCTCTCTGTCTGACAAGCGCATGCACCCTATAGCAAAAAAAACCTCTACAAAAGAAAAGCTAAAAAAAAAAAAAATCTCAGGGATCATCTGCAGTAGCTTGTACAAGCTGAGGCCATGTGCGAGGCCGGGATGTGATTTCCACTCCCCCTAGAAAAGCAACTTGCTTTCTCACTGTCCCTCTCTGGTCAAATTAAAATAAATAGATAAATGAGGTTAAATACTTTTTTTTTTTTTTTAATTTGACCAGAGAGCGAGAGACAGAGTCAGAGAGGGAAAAGAGTCAGAGAGGGAAAGTGAGAAAGCAAGCCTCCAGGCCCAGGACTCAACCGCAGTTGGCCACATGGGAGTCAGACGCCTTTAACCGCCACGTCACCTACTGGCCTCAATAAAATAATTCTTTTAAAAAAATGGGAGCTGGCAGGTGGTGTGGTGATTAAAAGCGCTGGGCTCCCGGGGACCAGCAGTTAGCGTAATGGCTATGTCGCTGGACTCCCATGTAGTTGACTGCAGTTTGAGTCCCACATCCAGTGGCTTAAAACTCGCGCTTGGCACGTGTGCGTTGTGTGCCCAGGATCTCGAGAGGAGAATGGAGGAGAAGGGACTGTGGTGTGGCCATTCCCCCTGGGGGGTGATTTCTCGCTTTCTGTCCCTCTATCTCTCTCTGTCTTTCTGGCGAGTGCACGTGCCCTATAGCAAAAACCTCTCAAAAAAAAGATTTGATTTCACTTTATTTATTTATTTTAATTTGACCAGAGAGGGATAGAAGGAGAGAGAGAGAGAGAGAGAGAAAGTGAGAAAGCAAGCTACCAGGTCTGGGACTTGAACTGTGGTCATTGGCGCCCCTAACCACCACACCACCTGCCGACCCTAAAATACCTTTTTAGAAACAAATTATTTTATTTAACTTTATTTATTTACTTATTTATTTTAATTTGACCAGATTGAGACAAAGCAAGAAAGAGTGAGAGAGACAAAGTGAGAAAGCGAGCTGCCAGGTCTAGTACTGGAACCAGGGTCAGCCATGTGGGAGTCTAGTGCCCTTGACCCGCACACCACCTGCTGCCCCCGTGCTGTTGAAATACTTCTTAGAAATACACTCTCTTGGGAACCAGCAGTTAGCGTAATGGCTATGTCGCTGGACTCCCACGTAGTCGACCCCGGTTCATGTCCCGGACCCGGTGGCTTAAAACTCACGCCGGGTGTGTGTGCATGCCCAAGATCCCGAGAGGAGAATGAGGAGAAGGGATTGCGGCGTGACCATCCCCCCTGGGGGGTGATTTCTCGCTTTCTGTCTCTATGTCTCTCTCTGTCTGTCTGGAGAGTGCACGTGCCCTATAGTGAAGACCTCTCCAAAAAAAAAAAAAATTAAAAGAAAAAAAGAACTATACTCTCTTTTTCGTGGGGGGGGGGTTTGGTTTGCCATGGGGGTGTGTGTACACACTGAAGACAGAAACAGAGAGAAAGCCGGTGAGAAATCATCCCCAGGAAGGATGACCATGCTGCAATCCCTTCTCCTTTGGGGATTTTGGGCACAGAGGAATACAGGCCCCCTTGATTTTCAAGTTGCTGGGTCTAGACCGAACCATGTGGACAGTAATGTGGGAGTCCAGCACCTTAACTACTATTGCCACTCGCTGGCCCCCCAAAGTGTATATTCTTATGTTACTTTTTTTTTTTTTAGAGAGCTTTTTTGCTTATAGGGTGTGTGTGGTCTCTTGAGACAGAGAGACAAAAAGTGAGAAACTATCCCCCACCCCCTACCCCTTCAGGAATGGCCAGGCTGAAATCCCAATCTCCTCCATCCTCCTCTCTGCTGGTCCCCTTACATGTTTGTTTTTTTTTTTTTTTTTTGGAAGGGTTTTCCCTATAGGGGGGGTACTCGCCAGACAGACAGAGAGACAGTGAGAAATCACCCCCCAGGGGGGATGGCCCTGCCGCACGCAATCCCTTCTCCGTTCTCCTTTTGGGATCTTGGGCATGCACGCACACGCGCCCGGTGTGAGTTTAAGCCACCGGGTCTCGGACGCAAACCGCGGTCCACTACGTGGGAGTCCAGTGACATAGCCATTATGCTCACTGCTGCCCCCTTCTTACATGTTTTTTGAAACATGAAATTCGTACTTTGAAATTTACAGTAATTTTTTCTGTAGTTATTATTGGGCAATTGAATCCATCAAAAAATAAACACCTAACCCTGTACAGGTCTATGGGCCCTAAATAACACGCTGCCAGTTCTCTGATATGGCCCACCGTGTGAGATCTTTGCACTTTTTAATAATTACTTTTATTTAACTTTATTTATTTATTAAATTTTTAATTGGATTTATTATCATTATTCTTCAATTTTTACCAGAGAGAGACAGAGAGAAAGTGAGAAAGCAAGCCTCCAGGTCCAGGACTTGAACCGTGGTAGACCGCGTGGGAGTCCAGCGCCTCAACCACCACTCCACCTGCCGGCCCCTAACTTCATTTATTTTAACTTGGCCAGAGAGGGAAGAGTGAGAGAGCAAGCCAACAGGTCCGGGTCTGGAACTGCGGGCAGCCGGCGCCCTTAACCACCACGCCACCTGCCGGCCCGAGACCTGTGCACGTCTTCCTAGGCCCCCGCAGCGCTCTCTTCCACCAGGCCTTTGTTCAGAAGTTACCTGTTCAGAACAGCCTTCCTTACCACCCTTCCGGCCCCCTTACTCTGCTCTACTTTCCTTCATTGTGCCACTACTATATAAAATTCCGTATTTTTCTCTCTTCCAGTACAATGTAAGCTCCAAGAAGGAAAAGTCTTGGCCTTAGGCACAAGATGTATTCCCGGAACCTAAACAGCGTCTGATACACGACGTGTTTGATGAAGCTACTGAGTGAATGAATTAGGCACCAACACAATCCTACTATTCGCGTAGGGACTCTTTGCCAGGCGGCGGAGGGACATGTACACAGTCAGCCCTGCAACACGCATGCGCGAGAGATCCGGGAAGTGTCCTAGGAAAGGGGCGGAGCAGCGCGAGGAGTCTCGCGAACAGAAGCGGTTGAAGCTTAGAGCGCGACGTAGAAGAGGGTTGCTTGGTCCTCAGTGCGCGTGCGTACTGTGGCCTCCCGCCCGCTGTGGCCAAGAAGTTCAAGGCGCCGGAAGGCAGGGTAGTGACCGCGCGCGTGCGCTGTGCCCGCGGCGGCGCCGGGCCCGGGTGTGTGGGTAGAGCGCGACTCGCGCAGCGCGTGCGCAGTACGGCGGCGGAGGGATTTGAGTCCGGGACCCACCCCTCCTCTAGTCGTCAGCCGAGGCCGCGCGGGCTCGTGAGCTGGGGCCCGGGGCGCACGAGGAGCCGGGGGCGCTGGGCGCTGTCGGAGTCCAAGCCGGAGCAGGAGTCCTCGTTGTTGAGGGGTCGCCGCAGTCGCCGCGAGCCCCCGGACCGACGCCAGGCCGAGGAGGGCGCCGCGCGGCGAGTGAGTGTGACTGGCCTTATGGTCTGCGGGGCCGCTACCCACAGGCCTTTGCGGTGGACCCTAGTCCCCTTCCCCGTGACCGGACCCCATTCCCGCGTCCTCGCCGCGGCACCTTTCTGCACCCCGTACCCAGAGTCCTCTGGACACCCAGACCCTCTTCCCACGTTCCTTCCCGCGGTTCCCTACCCACAGGCCCTTGCGGCGCGTCTTTTTTCTTTCTCCTCTCTGTGGTGTCCTGGACCCTTACCCATAATTCCTTTCGTCTATGGGGGCCCACACCATTACCCACAAGCCCCAGATGGGGGGTTTTGCTGCTTGCGACTCCCCTTGATCAGAGACTTCCCTGCGACCCCCGTTCTGATCCCCAGGTGCGGGACCACCAGCCACCATTGATTTGGACCTCTCTCCACGGGACCCTTAGTTCTCCCAGCCCCACTGGGCTTTGAGATGAGGACTCCCAGAGTTAAGGACTCAGAACCCTTCAAAACAGTGCTTGTTTACCTGTCTCTCAGTGGTCTTACCCTTGCCTCCATTCCTTTCAAGAACTTGCTTTCTCACTTAGATTCACTGCTTGCCTCTATGGCATAGGATCGTTCTCTGCCCGTACTTTTTATTAAAAAAATATTTCACTTAACTTTACTTATTTATAAATTTGACCAGAGAGGGACAGAATGAGAGTAAGAGAAAGGGAAAGTGAGAAAGCAAGCTGCCAGGTCTGGGACTCGAACTGTGGTCAGCCATGTGGGAGTCCAGCACCCTTAACCACCAAGCCATCTCCTGACCCCCCCACTCATCTTTTTTGATACCGAAACTCCTTTCCTGTTTCCCTCTTTTTTTCTTTTTTCAATTTCTTTCCATCAAGGGGTAACAGGGGTTTTGTCTCTATCCACTCACCTTAACTAAGAGGCTGTCCCTTTTCTTCCCCCAGACTTGGCAAGATGACCCAGTTCCTGCCACCCAACCTTCTGGCCCTCTTTGCTCCCCGTGACCCCATCCCATACTTACCACCCCTGGAGAAACTGCCACATGAGAAACACCACAATCAACCTTACTGTGGCATTGCGCCATATATCCGCGAGTTTGAGGTGAGTTCACTGAGGAGACTAGGAATGATTTGGGTGCTGAGAGCAGGGAAGGATTTGGAAATCTCTAGCCATTTTCTAGCTGTGTGGTTAGGCAGGTGACATACTCTCTGATTCTTTTTTCCTATCTTGAGTGGAGCCGAAACTACATCCCTAGGATGGTTTCTGTAAAGATTCGGTGGTGGTTGAGGCTTCAGAATGGAGCCCTCTGTGCATTGGATTTTTTAGTTTAAAAGTCATAGTAGCATCTGTATAATATGATAGAGAATCAAGCAGTAAAAGTTATATCAAAGGGCTTGGCACTAAACAGTAAATGTTAGTGTTTGTTATAGTTTTACCGTTTTTGTAGTTGATAAAGAGCACAGTGTGTAGTGGACTGCTTAAGGCAGCCTTGGGGGTTTCAGCTCTGCACGTGTGCGGTAAACATGAATAAGGAACTTAGGTTCCTGGACCTCAGCTTCCATTTGTAAAGTCGGAATAATATGCTCACCTCTTAGAGGAATCACAGCACAGCTGGAAGATGCTGGCACACAGCCGGAAGTCATAGGAACATCCTGGCATTGGGTGGAGAAGTGCAGCAGGAAGTGGAGGTAGTCACAGAGCAGAAGTTAGCATTGATAACAGAAATGTAATGTCTGCGGGAATTTGTCACCCTTGGTGGCACTTAGGAAGCAGCCAGTCAGTTAACTGAGTGGCTATGGGCCAGTGGCATTGATGGGGTCCTGCACCATTTACTGTTGAATGAGTGGTTGGAGAGGCCCTTGAGAACTGCTGGGTCCTTAGTGGTGTCCAGTTGTCTGCCCTGGGCCCCTGCACTGCTACGGTTGCTTTCCCTGGTTCTGTTTCCCTGGTGCTCCACCGGGGTCCCTCCTACCACTGCACTTCTATCACATCCTCTGGCACTTTGTTCACTGTGAATGGTCCTAGGAGCTGTGAAAAGCAGGGCCCTTTGAGACTTTTTTCTTAATTTGCTATGGGACATGTATACTCAGTGGAGACAGAGAAAGAAAGCACCCTGGGAGGGGGGTGGGGGGGTGGCCACTTCATAGTCCCTTCTCCATTTTCCTCTTGAGGTCTCACACATGCTGCAGGATCTAGGACTCAGCCTGTCCTTTCAGCCATGTGGAATCCAGCTGCTTCAACCACTGTGCCACTGGCTGGCTTCAGACTGTTTTCTTTCCCTTTGTATCTATTTTAGGTTTTGGCTATAGGGTACATACAATCGCCAGAGAGAAAGTGAGAAATCACCACCAGCCACCACAGTTCTTCCTCTTCTCTGGATTTTGGGCATGCACACACACATGCTACAGGCATGTTTTTCAAATCACTGGGTCTGTACTCGAATCAAGGAGTTGCCCATGTAGGATTTAATTTCTTAAGCACCATACTACCTGCTAGCCCCTGAGACTGGTCTTAAGCTAGATATCACCTGTGCCACTGCTTCTCAAACCACCTGTGGCAAATGACAAATCTATTTTTATTTTTCTAGAAGGACCCACAAAATAAAAGACCAAACTGCTCCATTAAATTGCTGTAAAGTTTCTGAATACTTACTCCTAATTTTGGTGCTTACTTTGTAACAAACCAGCCACAGTTTGTGTGCAGTGTTGGCCAGTGGACCATGCTTTGGTCTGGGCCACTCCCCTGCCTTATGTGTGGCTTAGAACTGGCAGTGTTTATTTGCTTGTTTGTGGAGGTAGGGGTGAGGTGAGGGGGTTGTGGCTGAGATGCTTATTTCCTTGGCAGGTATTCTTGCCATTTTCCCCAGTCCCTTCCAACCTGCCACCTCTCTTCCTGTTCCCAGGACCCTCGAGATGCCCCCCCTCCTACTCGTGCAGAAACCCGGGAGGAACGCATGGAGAGAAAGGTGAGTGCTTTCTGTTTGTTTGTTTTTTTAAGCTCCCTGCCCGATGTCTTTTTTGCCACTCTCTCCAGATGGTCTTGGACATCAGATCTGTCTTGTGTTCACTTTTCCACTTTCCCTTCCTCTGAACAGAGACGGGAAAAGATTGAACGGCGACAGCAAGAAGTGGAGACGGAGCTAAAAATGTGTAAGTCTCTCACTCCTCCTCACTGCTTCTCCCCCAGATCCTTTTGTATTCCTTTTCCCTGGTCACACCCAGGACCTTGCTCTTCCAAAGGCCTATAGTGAGGGAAGCAGGATGGTTAGTTCACCTAGTTAGTCCCCTACACTTGTCAAAATTGTTTTGTTTAGGTGTTTTTTTTGTTTTTTTTTTTTGTTTTTTGTTTTTTTTTTAGAGAGGCTTTTTTTGGTATAGGGCGTGTATGCAAAACAGACAGAAAGTGAGAAATCACCCCCCAGGAGGGATAGCCACACTGCAGTGTTTTCTTCTCCATTCTCCTCGTGGGATTTTTGGGATGCATGTACACGCGCCCGTTGTAACTTTCAAGCTGCTGGGTCCAGGACTTGAACCACAGTTGACCTCATGAGTCCAGCGCCATAACCTTTATACCATCTGCTGGTCCCTTGTTTAGACTTTTTTTGGGGTGGGAAGAGGTTTTTTTGCTATAGGGCGCATGCGCTCGCCAGACAGACAGACAGAGAGACAGAAAGCGAGAAATCACCCCGCAGGGGGGATGGCCATGCCGCAATCCCTTCTCCATTCTCCTCTTGGGATCTTGGGCACGCACGCACACGCACCCGGTGTGAGTTTAAGCCACGGGGTCTGGGACTTGAACCGCGGTCAACTACATGGGAGTCCAGCGACATAGCCATTACGCTAACTGCTGGTCCTCCTTGTTTAGACTTTTAAGTAGGATAGTGTGAGGTGAGGTAGGAGTGATCCTGGTACCTCAGTCCCCTCTTTCAGGGGAGCCCACTTGAGGAGCTCCCGTCGTCCCACTGAGTGATGGTCTGAGATGGTGAGATGTGGGCAGGTCAGTCAGTCCTGGTAAGCTGGGGATGCCCTGGCCCTCCCAGGTATAGGAGGAATTGGAGTAGGAGCACGTGCCTTGTAGCCATGAACCAAACTCTTAAGATGGTCAAATATCAACCTCAGTGGCCCCTTGATTGTTAGGGAGGACATATAATCAATTGGCTTGGGTTTTTCTACACCTGGGCGTCACTCTCCTCTGAACCTCATTTCCTCAGTGCGCTTATGCAAATACTTGACCCGAGGGGCAGGCTCTAGCTGAGAGCACTCTGAGCACTGGCTCTCAGGGCTGTCAGACTGTCCAGACTACCTGGTGTCCTTCGGATGTTTCCTTCTCGGGGATACGGGCATCCATCTCTGCAAACCGTGACCCCACTGTTGTTACCACTTTGGTTTCTAACGCCTTTAATTTGTTCTTTCTCCTGCCTGTCACCAAGACCTGTCCTTGTTACTCTCAGTGTCACAAATCTGAACTTTTTCTCCATGTCCAGCACCACCGTCCAGGTCCTCCCGTGCCTGGAGAGCACAGTAACAATTCACTTGGCTTATCTTTGCTTCTCTCCGGTTCAAGCCTACTGTGTCTTTGCTAAGTACTGTTCTGAATGTCTCTGCTAACAGCATCGTCTGTTCTTGGGGTAAAGACCAGGGTCCTTTTCCAGCCCACCATTCAGCCCTTCTCACACCAGATTCAGAATGTGGGAGTTGTTCAGGACAAGCTTGTGAGCTAGTTTCTTTCTTTCTTTCTTTCTTTCTTTTTTTTTTTTTTTTTAAGTTTTTGCTATAGGGCATGTGCGCTCGCCAGACAGAGACAGAGAGAGATCGTGAGAAATCACCCCCCAGAGGGGATGGCCACGCCGCAATCCCTTCTCCTCCATTCTCCTCTTGGGATCTTGGGCACGCACGCACATGTGCCCGGCGTGAGTTTTAAGCCCCCGGGTCCGGAACGCGAACTGCGGTTGACTACGTGGGAGTCCAGCGACAGCCATTACACTAACTGCTGGTTCCTGTGAGCCAGTTTCCTTAACAAACAAATTACAAGAAAAAGGGGAGGCAGCTAGAGGACCTTATGGATTAATTACTATGTTATAGTTTCTTCAAAAGTCTCCATTAGAAACCAAAATGATGGGATATTTGGGAGTTGATTTAAAATAGTTAACGAGGATAGAGATGAAACAAGTTTGGTCACATGTTGACAACTGAGGCTAGCTCATGAGAGTTCATTATACTACCCTTTACTTCCCTTAAGTGTTGAACGTTTTCATAATAGAAGAGGAAAATAACATCCGGTACAGTGTAGGGCATCCATGCCCTGTACGCTTGTCCCCGGCTACAGACGCTTGCTATGCCTCGTGGCCGTTTGCAGCTCCCCTGCGTGGGCTCACTCTTGCTGAGCACTCGATGCGCTTCCTGCTGCTGCTTGTCACAGTCGCACCATGTTGTGCAGTCTGAGCTCAAAGTCGTGGTCCTGCCTCGGCTCCGAGTGGGTGGGATTGCACGTGTGCCACTGTGCTGGCTCGTTACCGCTCGTCCCCCTCTT